CCCCCCCCCCCCCCCCAATCAGCCCATGGCGCACCATGTGGTTTGGCACAGCAATGATGATGACCAGCTTCTGGTTCACCCTTGTGAAACGTAGCTTAGGGCGGCGAAAACCCGGCATATCGCACAGTCCCTGCAGCATTGTGTAGAGCTGCGAGGTCAATGGTTTACCGACTACGGCATACGTTTACGTGAGTACCCCCCCGCGCCCCGCCCCGCCCCTGCGCATCCTTTCATTATTTCGGCCAACATTAGGTGGTGGCGGCGTTGGACCTGATCATCGAGAAGTTCCAGGACCACATCGCACCCCACGCCTCGGCGCTCACGCATCAGCTCACGAGATGTTTCTTGGAATATGCCTCGGTGAGTGAGGCCGGACGATGCACCCCAGACGCAGGGACGAGCGGCCTCGAAACCGTGGGGTCTCAATGAACAAGTGGTGTACAGCAAGGGCGCGATTTGTGGTTCTGGCTACTGTAGTCATCAATAAAGGAAGCGGGGATCATGAAACCGTCAGAGAGGTTGGGGTCAAACAAGGGTATTGCGGTTTGGTCAGTGTTTTCATCAAGAAGAGACCGGGGGTCATGAAACCATCAGAGAAGTTGGGGTACAAATATTTGCTCTTTTGGTTGTTTTAGTTATCAACGATGCATGCCCATGTTATCATCCCCTCTGGAAAGCCTTCCTTGCTACAGCACGTTCGGGTGCAGCAGCTACGCTTCATCAGAGGCCGGAAGAGAAAGAAGGTTGACTCAAGACTGTGTATCATGAATAATAACAGGCCCCGCGCGTCGTGCCCATCATGCACATATCATGATCCATGTGTCCCCCCGGAGGCCGCGTAGGTTCAGTACTTTGCCGAGCACCCCCGGATGAGCACGGCCTCTTTTTTGTGAACTCGAAGTGTACATTCACCAAAGAGTAGTATTGTTGTTCTTGAAGTCACCGACCGTCTTTCGTCATGTGGCCGAGGGCTGTGGCGCTGCTCTCTCATCCGGCCAATCATCGACTTCACATGATCAAAACTCGACGTTTTCTCCCCTTCAATCAGTGGAGGAGTCTCATTGTCAAAGCCATCTATCGCCCGACAGCTTGTGAACCAGGTCACCTCGTGGTAATACATCATCGTTAAGAGTATCCGACGGCGTGTTGACCTGCAGTAGTCAAACCAACAAAATTGTGCATGTGTCTGATCGCGTGAGAATCGATCAGCGCTTCAAATGAGATACGTTTTGAGTGAAGCAATGCACGATGTATCGACGCATCATCACAAGAACAGCCGATAGCGTGTGGTACGAATTGTGACACAGAAGAACTTCCCTCTTGGAGATCCAGTTGTCGGAACACGCCATCAAGATATCGACGCACCACAAGTACAGTAACCGATGGCTTATTTTGTATAAACTGTAACGAAAACTCTCCATTCTTCATGCATAAAATGTTTTTTGGGAACACACACACACACACACGGCAGGCGGGTAGCGACGACGATGATGCGGCGATGGCGGCGAGTCAAGTCATCGAGGCCGTCTCTACCGTGCTGCAGAGCACCAAGGCAGTGCCGGAGCTCTTCCCGGCGATGGAATCGCACCTCTTGCCTATGCTTGCGCAGGTCCGTACATATGTGTGCCATGGTAGGGTAGGAGCTTTCTCACGGCTGTTCATGTCGATGGTCGAAAAGAGATGTGTTGGGCGCAAATGTTCGTGGTATTTCTATTACTTTGTGGCTTCGTTTTGTGTTGTCGCACGCCTCTTGGCCTTGTCGGAGGTGCAGAAATGCAAGCAACACATGAGAGTACGTTAAATAACACCCTCCCCGCGCTTCGTTCGTGTTTTTTTCATGCAAGGTTTTCTCGGAAGATGGAGATTTGATAGAGTACATCGAGAACGCCTGCGACGTCCTCAGCTTCCTGACGTACTACGGGTAACGCTTCGCGTTGGACAGCTGTTGTTCTCTTTAAACTGTGTGTGGCGTGTCGGTCGTACATGTATGCCCTCTTTTGCCATGCGAAATCGCAACTTTGAAGGTCGTCAGGCTTGGACGTCATTTTTGTTTGTCGGAACTGTGGGTGATTTTCGTGAATGCCATCTACACCATTTGGTGGTTCCTGACCTGTCTGTGGCAAGGTATGTGCTTTTTAATCGTGTCAGAGATGTCCACGAACGTGCGTGTGATAGCTCCGGTGTTTGTGAGGTGAGAGTTGTGCTCGGCAGGTGTTTTGATTCTGAATATTGACGTCTACGTCAGGGCCAAGTCCTGTCCTCTAAATAAGTCTTCGGCATTTGATTGTAATGTTCGAGCAGCCAGCATGCCGCTGAAGCGTGGTCTTAGCCATGTACATGCATGCGTGTGTTGGCGCCGGTGCACTACTCGTCAACATCCCCTTTCTCGCTCCTTTGCGCCGTACTTTCTTTTGCCCCCCGGTTTGCGCCGTACCTGTGTGGGTGTACTATTGACGAACATCCCCCGTATCTTCCTTTGTCTCCCCGCTTTGCGCGGTATCTTCTGTTGTCCCCTCGCTTCGCACCGCACCTTCCTGTGGCCCACGCTTTGTGCGTCACCCTCTCGTGTCCCAACACTTCAGGGCCGGCATCAGCGAGCAGCTGTGGAGCGTTTTCCCGATGCTTTACCGCACCTGGGACAAGTGGGCCTTCGATCTCATCTCCAACATGGCTGTGCCGATAGACAACTACATCAGCCGTGGCACAGACGTCTTCATTGCCGGGAGAAGTGCCGAGGGCGACAGGTGATTTTGCGGCTCCAAACGATTTTGTTGTTGGTGTGGTCGTTAGACTGAAAGTGTGGGGGAATGCACAGGCCAAGGCACTATCGAGGGCAACAAATGATTTAGCGGCTCCAAGGTCGTTGGACTGATATGTGGGGAATGCTCAGACCATTTGGCACAATCAACGGTATATGCCTTTTTGCCAAAATCTCATGATGCCGGACCGGCGTGTGTTTCGTTTTTGTTGAAGGGAGTCGCATGTATGTTGTGCTGGAGGCGATGGAGGTGATGTTATCGATAGAGGTAGAGGTGGTGTTTGTGGGTCTTGGGGTTTTTGGACATGTTCGGCGAAGCTTTCCTCTGCATCTCAGGGCCGTTGTAAACAGCAGCTACTTTGCGTCAAGATTTCCAAATCCGTAGACCATGGATCCTCGATTTGCGTCTGACGACTTCTTTTCTGGGAACTTTGGAAACTGCTGTCACCGAAAAATTTGGAACATTAGAAATCTAGAAGTCGGAATTTTTGAAATTTGGAAGGAAAACAGATCTGTTTGAAACGGCCGACGCCGACAGGTACATCGAAATGTTGCTAGACATGTGCGGGCGCGTGATGAAGGACGAGCGGCAATCGGAGAAGGAGGCCAGGACTGCGGTGCAGCTGATGATGGTTGTGCTCCACAACTGTAAGGGCAGGATCGACGAGTACATCCCCCCCATCCTCGCGATGCTCAGCGAGCGCGTACGGACCGTAAGTGACGGGGTGATGGACCTTTTCGCCGCCTTCTTGGTGTTGGTTGAGGCAGACCGCTTTCCCCGATGTACGACTAGCGCTTGCCGCTTGTAAATGGAATCCGATGTGCGAGAAAACGCTCAACCACTTGTTAATGGAGTTCGATGTACGAGTGGCACTTTGCCGCTTGTGTATCCCAACCTTTCTGCACAGCAACGCCATTAGTCTCACTGAATCACGCTTGATCCTTCTACTCCCAACGGGACAAAGCGTTTTGTTTTTGCAATGACACCCAAAGTTTTGGCGGAGCTCGCCATGCTTGTTCGTTCGTTTTCCCACGTCCCGAGCTGTTTTTGTTGGGCGCTTGTGTGTGCCCCGCGCTCTCTCCCGACCCTAACTCTATCACTGACCCCGCAGGCAGAACAGGCGGAGCTGAAGTCGGCCTTGTTGGAGGCGGTCGCGAGTGCGCTCTACTACAACCCGCAGCTTGCCCTGCAGTGGACTGAGGCGAACAATGCCACCCAGGTTTGCACTTTCGAGAGAGGGTTTCGTGCACAAGTGCTCCTGTGTGTGAGAAATTTAGTCGAGTCAGCCGGTGATGAACTCGGCTACGTCTTCCGTCACATCCTGTCGTGTTTCAACCTTGAGCCATGGTAGACGCGGCCATCGTCTCCAGACAACAAACCAACGAATTCTTGGACATTACTACAGGTAGTCTTCGTGCTGACGAACACCAAGCATGGCTCGAGAGTGCTGCGTGAGTTTCGGCATTGTTGTCCCGTAGGTATGGACTCAGCTGTTCAAGTGAAACCTTACTGCGCTGCCAGCTCTGTGATCCGGACACAATGCCCTGTGCCTTTTCCTTCCTCGAACCGCAGGCGATGCTGACGCAGCTGTTCGTCTGCATGGAGGCACAGGTGTTCGACAACAACCTCTCCAAGAAGATCATCGCCCTAGGACTCACGTCTCTCCTGTCCCTGCCGTCGACATCTCTGCCGCCCTCCGTCATCCAAGTCTTGCCGCACGCCTTCGGTGCTGTTGTGAACGTAAGAGACGACTCAAACATCGTGATCGGGACGGGACACCCCCCCCCGTACTCATCAAAAGCAATGTTGGCACCGCGTTTGCCAGACATCAAGTTTGCGAGGAATACAACAAGGAGGGCGTAAGCAAACCCTATTTCCCTTACCCAACTTGACAGATTGCATGCTTTATACAACATGTGCACTTATTTAATTGAAAAATCCTGCGAAGGCTACTGCAATTTTGCCGTGTCGCGCACGTGAGAGATGACACAAGCCTTTATCTTCGGGACACCACCCGTATTCGTGATAAGCAATTTTGCAGTGTTGAGGTGTTCCTAGTTGCGAGCCATCACCATCCCTCGAATCCCGGGGGTATCAACAGTTAGGCGTGTCCGCAACCTTGCTCGCCTCCCGTCGGTTTTGACATCGATCTGCTACAAGGCCCTCCGTGATGTCGCTCTCGCCGCTTCTTCCCTCGATTTTGTTGTCCCTATTGCGACAACTGTACGTGTGGTATTCGGGATTTCCCGTATTCCTAAGTTGCGTGGCTCCCGGGGGGTGTCTTGATTGCCTTGCTTGGCAGCGCTCGCCTCGTTTGATAGGTTAGGATGCGGTACCTGCAGAGCGGGCGAGAAGCGGGTTTCGGTCGAAATTTTCATGACCGCGTTCAAGTACGGCGGTGAGACCGCGATTGATGTATTGAATCTTGTTATCTTTGCTCTCTCTGTAGTGTAGCGTTGAGGGTTTAGAACCCTTGCTACGGGATCGACCTCACCCATGCCTTCGCTGACAAGCCGTGTCGTGCCTTGCCGTGATGATATTTCCGGAACACGCAGCTAGTAACCGAGGAGATTAAGTACCTGGCGTCAGTGGAGGCCGAGGGGGAGGAGGAGGAAGAAGAAGAGGAGGAGGAGGAGGAGGAGGAGGAGGAGGAGGAAGAGGAGGTGGATGAAGACGGGTTCGATGACGACCAGGACGTGAAAAACGAAGAGGACGTGGTATACATGAAGAACTTCCACGCGACGAACAAAGTGAGAATCAAAATTTGGCCAGAGCTTAGACCTATGAAACGCTTCCGCCCTTGACCCACTGCTTGCCCTTGACCAGAGCACCCTCAGGTAGGGGGGGGGGGGGTACTCTTCTGTTTTGC